GTGGGGGGGGGGGGGCAGAGCCCGCCGCAGCTGCAGCAGCTGCAACCCTTTGCACACACACACACACACAGAGAGAGAGAGAGAGGAGGCTGCTCCCGGCTGCCGGCCTGTGCGCCGCAACATCAGCAGCGGCGACTGAGAAGCGCGAGCTGGGAGCGGCTCGGCCGAGCCCCCTTTGCAGCATGCTGCCTGGCTCGCCAGCCACCCGCCGCATCTACGACCCCAGCAGAAGCCGAAAGAGCAGCAGCTGCAGCAGCCTCGGCCGCGCAGGGCCCGGAGCCGCGAAGGCAGAGGAGGCTGCAAGGAGCGCAGCATGGCCGGGCAAGGCTCTTTTGGGTCCCGGTGGCTGCAGCTGCGGTTGTGGTGGTTGCTGCTGCTGCTGGCGGCGGCGTGCCTGGTGCAGCGCGCCCAGCTGAGGAAGCTGCTCCGGTGCCCGGCCAGTTGCAGCTGCACTAAAGAGTCCATCATCTGCGTGGGGTCGGCCGGCGTGCCGCGGAGCCTGCCTGGAGACCTCAGCTCTTTGTAAGTGCCGGGCAAGGAGGAGTGGAGGAGAAGGGAGGCAGGCAGGCAGGCAGGGGCTGCAAAAGAGGGCCAGCAATTTTGCAAAAAAACAAACAAAAAAAAACCCCTCCAGTCGGCTGGGAGGAGAGGATACAGAATCCAGATGAACAGAGGTGGAAAGGGACCTTGGAGGTCATCTAGTCCAACCCCCCTACTCAGGATTGTGGGTGGGGCAGGCTCGGTTCTTCTGCGTTCCATCTTCATCTTCCTCCAGGGATGGGCGGTTAGTGGTCCAGGGAAAGGCATTAAATAGTGCCTGTGCTTTAAAAGTTAGAAACTCTGCCTTTAAGCTTTAAAAACAACCCACTTTGGCTTCAAAAGTTCTAAGCTAAAAAAAAAAGGGGAGGGGGGAAGGCTAATACCATCCTTGGTTGGATAAACCGAGGCACAGAATCAAAATCAGGTGAAGTAATATTAATCAAAACCTTAGTAAGGCCACACCTGGAAAGCTGCATCCAGTTTTGGTCATGGTGTTAACCCAAAAAAAGAGGCTGAGACTTTGGAGGAAATTGCAGAGAAAGAGGATTAAAAACCTGGAGGCTAAAATATATGAAGAACGGTGTCAGGAATTGGGTTTGGGTCAGTCTAGAGAAAAGAAGGACTAAGGGGGGGACATGATAGCAGGATTCCAGTATTTGAGGGGCTGCCACGAAGAGGGGGGTCAAATTAGAGAATCAAAGAATAACAGTTGGGTACCCTGGAGGTCATCTAGTCCAACCCCCCTGCTCAAGCAGGAGAGTCTATCATTCCAAATATTAGCCTCTGCCAAGGATCGAACTCATAGCCTCCTGATTCTGAGGCAAGAGCTCCACCTCTATACAACCCCTCTAAGTGCAATTGATTTAACCTTGAAGAGGGGGAGGTCAACTTATTTTCCAAAGCCCCTGAAGGCAGGACAAGAAGCAACCGATGGAAACTCACCAAGGTGAGAGGCAACCTGGAATGAAGGAGAAACTAATATTTAAGAATATTCCATTTGTCTGGAATAGAGTAGGTTCTCCTGCTTGTGCAGGGGGCTGGACTAGAAGACCTCCAGGGTCCCTTCCAACTCTATTCTGATTGACTGTATGAAAAGAAAGGGACACATGGCATAGAGGAAGTGCCAGCAGGTAAAAAAGGGAGTCACATGAATCAGGTTGCATGTGCCTCACCCCTACACATTATTACACCTTTGTAGATTCGTTGTTGCGTTATAGGACACGTACAGCTTGTTTGTATTCTGCTTCCCCAGAGGAAAAACAAAATGAAAAACAACCATTGGGAAAGAAAGGAATGAATAGAGTGGAATAACAGTTGGAAGGGATCTTGTAGGTCATCTAGTCCAACCCCCCCTTCCCCCCCAAACAGGACAGAGACAAGAAGCAACCGGATGGAAACACATCAAGGAGAGAAGCAACCTGGAATTCAGGAGAAGTTTCTTCACTGGAGGTCTCCAAATTTGGCAACTTCAAGACTTTTGCACTTCAACTCCACAAGTTCAAGTCCACAAGTCCACAAATCCACAAGTCTTAAAGTTGCCAAGTTTGGGGACCTCTGTTCTTGGCTGTTAGGACAATTCATCAATGGAACTACTTGCATCCAGAAGTTTGGGGATGCTCCAACACTGGAAGGTTTTAAAAAGAGATTGGACAACCATTTTTGTCTGAAATGCTATAGGTTTTCCTGCCTGAGCAGGGGGCTGGACTAGAAGACCTCCCGAGGTCCCTTCTGTTAATCTGAGGGCACCAGGTTGGGGAAGTTGTGGTAGCAAGTATTGAGATGGGCTCCTGCTGATTTTTCTGCCCTGCTGCCTCTTTTTAGGAGCCTGGTCAATGGAACCTTCCCAGAAATAAAAGAGAGAATGTTTTCCCACCTGCCTTCCTTGCAGTTGCTGTAAGTATTAGGAGGGTGGATACGTTTGGGTGCTTCTCTTCACCGTAAGGTGGGAGAGGTTTGGAAGAAAATGCCCCCCTTAAGGATATGGAGACATCTAATATTTCTTTTCCTCCCACAGTTAGTCGCCGGAGGTCCCTTTTTGGTTTATTTCATTTTATTTTAGACAATTTATATAGCGAGGGGTCCTTGTGTGGTCTCTTGAGCTTACTGGTTTCCTTGCAGGTGTTTCATTATCCTAACTAACTAACACACTAGCACTGATGGTGTTCCCTAGTTCGTTTATTTGTTTTATTTATATTGCCACCTATTCGCCCGTGGCAACTCGAGGCGGCTTATACAATGTAAAATCATATTTAAAACAAAAAAATAAAAATAAAAACTAACAAAAAGAATCAAATAAATTAGTAAGGTACAATAGAACAAAATTTGGGAAAAACAAAACGAAACAAAAAGTTGGGTCATGAAATGTCTGCAGGAAAAGCACCAAGCTCAGAGAGCACCAAGGACCCCACAGTCCTTTTTCTCCTCCTCCTCCTCCCCCTCCCCCCTCCCCCTCCTCCTCCTCCTCCTCCTCCTCCCTCACCCTTCCCCTCCCTTCTCCTCCTCCTCTTTGCAAACCCCACCCCCTTCTAATATTGATATTACCTAGTTGGATTATGAAACATTTGCAAGAAACCACCAAGCTCAAAGTGCAACAAGGACCCCACAATCCTCTCCTTTCTTCCTTCCTTCCTTCCTTCCTTCCTTCCTTCCTTCCTTCCTTCCTTCCTTCCTTCCTTCCTTCCTTCCTTCTCCTACTCTTCCTCACCCTTCCCTTCTCTTCTCCTCCTCTTTGCAAACCCCACCCCCTTCTAATTCTGATGATATTACCTAGTTGGGTGATGAAAACCATCAAGCTCAGAGAGCACCAAGGACCCCATAGTCATCGTCCTCCTCTTCCCTCTTCCCTCCAACCCACCCCTCTCCTTTCTGAAACTCACTCCCTTCTATCACTGATGATGTTCTGGCATACGTATGAATTGAAATCATGTGACCACGGGGATGCTACCACGGTCATAAGTGTGAAAAATGGTCACAACTCCCTTCTTCAGATGGTCAGTAAAGGAACGGTCGTAAATCAAAGACTACGAGGAGTTTATGCCACCCTTGGTACTTCTGAGATGTCAAAACAAAGGAGGCGATGAAATATTCAGATAGCAAAGGACGAGTCTCGGCACCCTTTGTATCTCAAGGGCTTTCCGTATCTTGCCAATCCTTTGACCACATGCCACGCCGCGGCCTTTGCCAACCGGTGCCACCTTCAGATAGTTTGGAACTAGGAAGTCACCCAATTCTTGGGAAGTCCAGCCACGGGCCAAGGAGAAAGAGATTCTGGCAGCCGGCCTCCGTGTCTGCAAGTTGAGGAAGCTTCTCTAATCAAAGAACACGATACATCCAAAATACGTCTTGTGTGTGTGTGGGGAAGAAATGGAGCAGAATTGATCATGAACAGGCAACGCTAATCGTAGAGGTTGTCCTCCACTTACAACAGTTTAGTGATCGTTCAAAGTTCAAAAAGGGAGCTTATGTGTGATGACCCGGAGTATAACACAAACGTAACAAAATCCAAAACATAAATAAATGTCCTTTAATGCCTCCAACTTGGCCCCACTGTTTTAATAATTCTCAGTTGTAGATAAAATGTATTCAAAAATAGTCTTCAAAAGAAAGCAATACAGTCCGAACTTAATGAGCAGATAGAGGTGAAATAAAAAACCAAACAAACTATAGTGACGAAATTTCCACAACGGACCAGGATAAGTAATTACCAAATTCAAGGAGATAACAAGGCATAGTCTGTTGGAAGGACACCAACCAAGATAACTTCAGCCCAGAATAAAACACGCTTTGCTTCTGGCAACGCTGTGTTGTAATCGTCTCTCTTATATCCTATTCTCCCCAGCTACAACCAATGAGGGGATCATGGCCGCTTCCTCTCTCGTAAGCCAAGTTGTTGCCTTCTCTGTTCCTCCCTGCGTATCCTAGGATGCAGAGGGGATGGGCCTGGTTCTTCCTCTGACTGCCCAGCCGGCCTCTGCCCCTCCCAGCCTCCTCCACAACCTCCAGAGCCACACCTCCACTCCCTGTCGGCTGTTCCTCCTCTCCCTCAGAGTCTGACTCTTCCAAGGGCATGACATTATGACCATTATCTTTTTTTACAGTTATGACCTTGGCAGCATTCCCCTGATTATCCTCTTTAAATGACCACCATAATCCCTTGTGGGGTGGAATCTGGGCAACTGAATGGAACTGAGGTTTTACTGGCTGGATGCCCTTCCTGTTGCCAGTGCAGAGTTATATTAAGCAAATATACTTTCATCGTGCCCAGAGAGAGAAACATCTGCCTCTCTACCTAGGATTGAACTGACAGCCTTCTGACTGCGAGGCGAGAGCTCTACCTCTACACCACTGCACCACCCATTCCCCTGATCATGGGGTCAAAATTCAGACAGTTGGTAACTGGTTCATACTTGTGACCATTGCAGTGTCCCAAGCTCTGACAATGGGGAAGACAGATTTACTTAACCAGGTTGCTAAATGTCTATAGCCATCCAGGTCATGGTTGTCCCAAAGGTGATTTTTTTTTCCAAAAGGCAACTGGACTTTCTGGTTTTTCTTCGAAGACTTTTTGCTTCTCTTCCAAGAAGCTTCTTCGGCTCTGACTGAATGGTGGGGAATGGAAGGATTTCTATTCCTTGCAGACAGCTGGTCATTTGCATCCTTTTAGAGAGCAGTTGAGGCCACTTGGAGGTTTATCTGTGTCCTCAGGGTCACCGGAATGGTATAGATCGGTACACTGATCCTTTCAGCAGTTGCAAGAAGGCTCCACGCCCATTTGCACCACTCAGGTGACCCTGAAGACACAGACAAACCTCCAAGTGGCCTCAACAGCTCTCTAAAAAGGATGCAAATGACCAGCTGTCTGCAAGGAGTATAAATCCTTCCATTTCCCACTATTCCCTAACCAAAGTCAAGGGGGAAGCCAGATTCACTTACCAACTATGTTACCAACAACTGCAGTAATTCATTTAATGTCTGGGACAAAAAAACTCATAAAATGGGCCCAAACCATTCTATGTGCTGCTTTGCCCCAGTTGTTAAAACAAATCACTGCAGTTGTTAAGTTAGTAATATCTAACTTAACGGCTGTCTCACTTAGCAACAGAAATTCTGGGCTCCGTTGTGGTTAAGTCAAGGACTAACCATAGTAATGTATTTTAAATGTTTGGTTTTTTTAACTTGATACCGCATTTCCATTTTTATTTTTAAGGCTGCTGAATTCTAACTCGTTTACCATCATACGGGACGATGCCTTTGGTGGGCTTTTTCATCTGGAGTACCTGTAAGTCACCTGATTTTTATTACCTCCTGCGAAGACGTAAAAGGAAGGGCGGTTTTTATTTCCGATCATTTTTATAAGCAGCGTATTTCGTCCTCCGACCGAAAACATTTTGGCTCGATTCACCCCACGCCACAAATTCCACCTTCTACTGAACATTGTTGCTGGCAAGGTAGAGGCTGCCGCACCTTTGCAACCCCAAAGCTTCACATCTGCAGATGTTCTAGGGGTGTGTGTGTGTGTGTGTGTGTGTCAGTGAGTGAGTGTGTGTGAGCAAGCAAGCATAGGAGCCTCTAATCCAGAGCTCCCCAAATTCCGGGCCTTGAGTCGTTCGGAACCGGGCCACCGAAGTGGCAGGTGAACACTCACTTGTATGCATCTCCACTCGTGCGAACAGCAGGCAAGGGCGTGCACACGCACTACATTTGTGTGAGAAGCAGGCACACATATCCGTCGCTCACTCTGAACTATTCCCCTGCCCCCCCCCACCGGTCCACAAAGCGGGAACGGTTGGGGTGATTCTGCTGTAATCCCTGTGTGATGACCCAAATGGGTGTGGCACAAAGGCCACACAGTCAGGTTGTTAGGAATGATAGTCACCTAACAGTTGAGTTGGCAATATGTAAACCAAGGTAGTAATTTAATACTGTATCTTTAAGAGAATGCTGTGTGATTGGCTGAGGTTCCTCCAACGGCCATAAGATGGAGCCAGAAATCTGGTTTCTCTTGTCTTGCATTTCCTGTTTTGCTGTATTTGCCTGATCGTTGTTCGATTTTGATTGCTATGAGTTCTTGCAACTGTTAGCAAACTCTGTTTACTGAACTCTGTTTATGATGCTTGACTTCATTTTTGGATTATCCCTAGACTGATACTAACTACTTTAACCGTGTATGATTTGGACTGTTTGTTGAACTTTGTTTACCCGTTTACAGGAAGTAAAACCTACATTTCACTATTCAGTGTATTTGTATGCTGGTTGTGTGTTATTCAACATCAATCTCACTACGTTTCTCTGAGTGCACTCATTCTCCTAATGGGGAATACCTCAACACTGATAATCAGTCGGAGTCCCTTTATTAGCTCCAACTTTGACTCCAATGTCCTGGTTACCTTCTGGCTGGAGAAAAACTCTCCCAGGAACAGCCTTTGACCACAGGGAATCAAGTCCAAAACGTGGTCAACAAAAACTGTAACTATAAGTCCAATCAAAGCAAAATGAGGTCATTAGTCCATCAGGGCAGGAGAAGGAATTCCAGATGTGAAGGAATAGCAGTAATTCAACCCAGTTGGGAGGATGCCAGGAACACAGATAAGCAAAGACAATACAAGATAAACTCACATTTGTTCCCAGCAGCCGCCGCTCTCAACTTGCATCTCTTTTAAACTCTCATTCCCGGCTGTGGTGAATGAAGGCAATCAGGGCCCTTTCCTCCCCGGTAAGCCATGCAACTCATGTTGCTCCTTTCTCCATTCCTCCCTGAATGCCCTAGGATGAAGAGGGGCTGGGCCTGGGTCTTCCTCTGAACCCCCCTCTCGTTCTACCTCTCCCCTGCTCTGCCCAGCCGGACTTTGCCCTTCCCCAGTTTCCTCCACAGCCAACAGAGCCACACTCCCGCTCCCTGTCAGCTGTTTGTCTTCCTCCTTGGATTCCTCCTTGGACTCCAACAGGGGCATGACACCCTGTAAGTCCGAAGCTGAAGTGTGATTTTCTTCCCATTTCCATAGCTCCCTGAAGTATAGATAGTCCTTGACTTACAACAGCTCATTTAGTGGCCCGTTTTTTGAAGTTACAACATCACTGGGAAAAAAGGGACTTGTGACTGTTTTTCACACTTAACGGCCATTTCTGTCTTCCTCTTTTTGTGTGTAGATTTATTGAAGGAAATAAAATTGAAACCATTTCAAGACATGCATTTCGGGGTCTTCGAGATTTGACTCATCTGTAAGTTGTTGAGTTGGGGGGTTTTTTCACGCTAATTTGTATCTTGCTTAAAACCTCAGCATGCTGTTAACACCTGGCAGCGTAGATATAGTCCTTGGTTTATGACACTTTGTTTAATGACCGTTCAAAATGACATACCCTGAAACGCATCCTGTGTTTCCTGTAGGAAGTTTTTTTTTTTTGCCCTATGTCCCTTCGCTGTTGAACAGAGGGGGGCAGCCTGTTAGGCATGCGTTGTCCTGCAGAAAACACACTCCTTTCAGCAATTCCAAGAAGGCCCTACATACACATTTGCACTATTCAAGTCATCCCAAAGACACAGACAAACCACCAATTTTGCACCGATTTTGACATAGATGGCCTCTTTGATAATACAAATAAACCTCCAAGAGACCTCAACAACCCTCTGAAAGAATGCAAATGACCAGCTGTCTGCAAGGAGTATAAATCACTTTTGGGATAACCGCTACCTAGATGACTGAGAAAGCTCCATAGATCTTCAACCACTGATAACTTAAGAAGTTGGTTACGTGTCAAAAGGCTGGATAGCTCTAAAGGGCTCATGAAAGTACATCAAAATGTTATGATTCAAGATATGCTATATACGACAGTATGAAATGCTGTGTGCATTTTTTTAAAAAAAAAATCCCAGTGAATTCCCAGTGTGAGTGCCTTTTTAAATGTTTGGGATTGCTCTCCGCTTTAAAAGTTGTTATTAATTTTGTCTCCGTGAATCCTCTTACTTTCTGTTCTGACCTAAGGCTTCCCAAGATCATGAAGCCAACTCCTCATACCGACAAAAACCCCTTTTATTTAGGTTAAAGGGAATTCCTCTCCAGCAAAGTCCCGGCAAACAGTCTTTCATGAGATTTCACAACTACAGACCTTTATCAGGCTTGGAGAGCTGCCAGGCCAATATCTTTCAAACGCCACGCTGTAGCAGCAATTACTTGGCAAGAAGTCAGGCACAGATCTTCACCCTCATGAATTGAACTAATTGTATCCTGCAAACCCCACTCTCCTTTCGCTCCTCTTTATTCCCTATGGGAGGGGCCATTCACCACCATGCTGAGCCTTTACTCCCGAGTTGACCCTTGTTCCTTAACTGTTCTCTTCTCCTGGCAGCTCTGTGCATGCGCACACTGGGAACAGGCTCCAGTTGTTCTTCCCCACTGATCTCCGACGGCAGCTGATAACTGTCAGATGGCCCTGAACCCATCTCTGCCTCCGATACAGAGCCCTTGTCAAGAGCCTTCCCCAGACTCCAGGACTGGCCCATGTTCTTCCCCAACCTCCTCACTGTCTGAATCTGCCGCCAGCTCCCCTCGCCACTGGCGTGCCGTAACACTACCTGACTCTACCTGACTCTGTGCTTTCTTCCCCAAACCCCAAAAACTTTAACCTTAGCCTATCTACTATTGACCTCACCCCCTTCCTAAGAGGCCTGTAGGGGGCGTGCATAAGCGCACCAATTGTGTCTGCCATCCCTGTCCTATTGTTTTTTATTTTTCTTATAAGTATCTATCTCATGTATTCAAAACTATATTTATTCTTATACCTGTATCTTGTAAGCAATTGACAAATAAATACTAAAAAATAAATACCTTCTATAGGCTGGGAACTGAGAGCCTTCCAATAGTTCTCAATCCTCATCATATCACAGTATTACTGAATTCAGTTTTTATCTATAGGATTTAAATGGTTTTCAAAATTATTGTGACATCTAACTTTACTTTCTCAGCTCCCTCGCCAATAACCAGATTAAAGCTTTGCCAAGAGACATCTTTAGTGATTTGGACTCTCTGATCGAACTGTGAGTAGAGCTTCATCATGTTATTGTTGCTTTGTGGGTTTTAAATCTTAGCATTCAAAATTTTTCTTTTGGCCGTTTGGATGTGAAATTGGGGCTAGGAAGACACACATTGGTTCTCATTCGTTTTGTTAAGTCTTGTGCTTGATTTGAATGGTTTTCCTTTTTACTGATGTATTTATTTGAAATATTTCAAGGGTGCTAGAGTGTACCATACCGTACATATGTGCTGAGAGTAACTTTGCATTATGAATAAAGGAAGCAGATGTCACTGAAGGCAATGCCAAACAGGGGGAAATAATCTCTAACAATATTGGCTCTGAAGGACGATTAACCAGTGGAACAGCTTGCCACCAAGTTGTGAGTGCTCCATCACTGGAGGCTTTTCAGAAACGATTGGACAGGCACTTGTCTGAAATGGTATAAGATCTTCTGCTTGGTTTGGGGGTTGGACTGAAGAAACTCCCTTCCAACTCTGTTATTATGTTGTTCTTTCTATGATCACATGTATCCATCCCATCAACGCCAAAGGAAGTCTGGAATGGTATAGGATGCCATGGGCCAAGGTCCCTTCCCACCCTATTATTCTGTGTTCTAATTCCCCACTGTCCGTTGTGTGTCTAATCAACAGGAATGGGTTGTTGTTGTTATTATAAACTTTTATTCATTAAATATGAAGCTCAGTTAACTGAACATTTAAAAATGTATCACAAATACCAGTGACTTATATCATTTATTATTATTATAAACTTTTATTCATTAAACATGAAACTCAGTCATCTGAACATTTAAAAATGTATCACAAATATTGACCGATACTAATGGTTGATACGGGATTATTATTATGATCATCATCATCATCATCATCATCATCATCAAATCTTTAGTGAGATTCACAGCCTTTGGAGCTGGTTGGTAGCTCAACAGCTCGAGTCCTAACCAAGGACCTAGGAACTGCTCAGGTAGCATCGGAGGATATTATAAGCTGTTCCAAGTAGGGTGGTTTTTTGTAGAATCAGGGAATTCAAGTCTGCTAAATTCAGAATTTCCAAATAGCCAGGTAGTCCTTTAGGTGTTGCTCCAAGGGCTCCAGTTACAATTGGGATAACACATGGTTTCTTTTTCCGAAGTGGCTCAACTTCAATTTGTAAGTCCCGATACTTTGTGATTTTTTTCTTGCTGCGTGTCTTCAATTCATGCATCCCCAGCTATTGCAATGTCAATGAACCAAACCTTTTTCTTTTCAACTATTGTTATGTCAGGTTATTATTATTATTATTATTATTATTATTATTATTATTATTATTATTATTATTATTATTATTATTTATTACTTATTATTATTATTACTTATTATTATTATTATTATTAAAATCTTTAGTGAGATTCACAGCCTTTGGGGCTGGTTGATAGCTCAACAGCTCGAGTCCTAACCAAGGACCTAGGAACTGTTCAGGTAGCATCGGAGGATGTAAGCATATATATTATAATAATATAATATAATATATTGTTGCTATTATTATTGTTGTTGTTATTCTTGTAACAAATTGCATCTACAACAGAAAGCAATTTTTATTAATTAAGCTTGATTGACAAACATCGCTTTGTCTTTAAAAAAAATAACCCATTCTGTTACTTCTTATTTCTTGCCAATCTGCACCATTTCTGTATTTCCTAAAGGAAATCCTCACAAGGGACCTGTTGGCTTTGGATCCCAACCTCTGTGTGTGCAAACCAGCTTTTCTTTTTTCCTGCATCCCTAGAGACTTGAGGGGAAACAAGTTTGAGTGCGATTGCAAAGCGAAATGGTTGTTTCTGTGGCTAAAGATGACCAACTCCTCCGTCTCGGAAGTCGTCTGCATCGGGCCGGAAGAATTTCAAGACAAGAAATTGAATGAAGCCTCGAGTTTTGACGACGAATGCACCACAACAGGTATTTTGGGGAAAGCGGACTTTCTTGGCAAGTTAAGTCAGGATCAGGGGTGGGATTCTACCAGTTCGGACCGGTTCAGGCAAACCGGTTGTTAAATTTGCATCTGGTTCACCGAACCAGTATTTGAACCGACCGGCTGGCCCTGCCCACCTCACCTCACCCCTCCCAGGAGTCTTGGCCCATTTTTGATGCAGGTAAGTGCAGGCTATGGGAGGGGGGAAAACGGGCCTTCCGGAAGTCCAGAAATGGGCCCATTTTCCACTTCTGTAGGGCCTCTGGACCCTGGGAGAAGCCATTTTACCTCTCCCAGAGGCCCGAGGGAAGCCTCCAGACTCTGGGGAGGGCGAAAAATTGCCCCTCCTGGAAGTTCCATGAGTCCACACCCACCCTGCAACCGGGCAGCAAACTGGTTACTGGGAGTTTTAATCCCACCCCTGGGTCAGGATGAACTTGGCTTTTTGTATTTTTTTTGGTGGCCCAGGAGCAAATACTGTATTGTTTTGAATTGCCATATTATTCTTTGCGGGAGTACTGATCGCCGATTAATCCAAAGGTTGATATTAACAGGGAATTCACCAAAGCAACTTGAGGGGGAAAAGCAATGGGTGGAAGCTTGTTAAAGGGAGATTCAATCTTGAACTCAAGGGAAAATTTCCCGGCAATGAGGACGATTAGCCAGAGGAACAACTTGCCACTGGAAGTTGTGGGTGATCCATCGCTGGAGGTTTTCAAGAAAACAATTGGGCAACCATTTGTCTGGGATAGTACAAGGCCATGATGGGTGGCACACATAGCCATTTGTGCTGGCACGCGAGCCGCAGGCAAATTTACCTCACTGTGCATGTGCACGCCTCACAGCTGATTTTTGGCTGGTTTGAGGCCTTTTTCGGCCTCTCAGAGGCTTGAAAAAAGCCTCTGCAGGCCGAATAGGCCCGTTTCGTCACTTCCTGTAATACCGGAAGTGACAAAATGGGCCTATTCGCTCTGCAGAGGCTTTTTTTCAAGCCTCTGAGTGGCCAAA